AAAAAAGGGGTAACTTTATGTGTTCATAAACACACCAGAAATGCTGGTCAATACACTTTCTGAAACCAGCCAGAGAGAATAATGTCAGGTTGGATCTATAAAATGGCTTTGTCTTCTTCAACTGTCTTGTGAAAACACAATCAGATCTTTTAATGCAATTAACAAAATAGTTACATCTATACAGTCATTTTTCTATATGCAGCTTTCCCAAGGAAACATTACAGCCAGTCACATTTAAACTTAAACAGGTCAAGGGCAGGTGTTACAGCTGGTTAAAAACTACACTAAAATCTTCAGCATTAAGTTTCCATTCACACCTAGGCATTTTGTCACTCAAAGGTAAGTGAGACAAAACGCTCAAGACAAGGACCCCATTCATTTTTATGGTCCTTGTTCACACCTGAGTGTTTTGTCATAAGCAGAAAATCAACTGCGGCTGGAAAAATTACATGAGGTTTTTTGGCGAATTACAGTGCTTGTTTGTCCCTTAGACTTTGATGGGAAACTTTGTGTGACAAAACCTACAACAAAATGCTCAGGTGCAAACAGGCCATAGAAATAAATGGGATTTCTTGTCTTGAGTGTTTTGTCATGCTTAGCTGTAGGCGACAAAATACATAGGTGTGAACAGAGCCTAAACATTTTTAATTTTCCACCTTCTCAATGACAATTATATTTACTCCAAGTCGAAAAATCAGCTTTAAAAATAGCAATACAATTACCATAAAAAACTGTTCATTTGCCCCAAGCACGGGATTCGTTTGTCTAGAAGATGAACGTGATACCTTAGAACCCAATATTCCAAGCAGATTTATTTTACTTCTCTTTGAGAAGTTTGTTATTCTTTGGTTTTTTTTAGCAGTGATGTAGTTGGCAAAACATGATTGGCTTTTATCACTATATACTGTACACAGTGACTAGTCTTCACACTTGAAATTTGTATATAAAACATTGGATCCTATACAATTTATTATTACATTTTCTATTCTAATCTTCTGTATTTTAAGAATTGTGGTCAACTGAGCCACACATCAAACTGTTTGTAAACCGTGGGCTTGTCCTTAGACAGTGTGGACCCTTGATAAATATTATGATGGGATGCTTACGGATACAAATTGCCATTTAGGTTTGGTGCAGGGCAGACACTCCACTTTGTTAACATTTGCCTCCTTTAAAACATTTTTTACCAAAATCTGGAAGGACGTGCAAACCCTAACTTCAAAGCGCAGTAGCCTATGAGTACACTTTAAAATGGCCTTTGCAAAATGTGCTATCTTATTGAATACGCTTCAAACAACTCATGGGACAAGACTAGGGTTAAATAACCACAAGCCATGTATACAGCATTAATAATAAAAAAAAAGAGCTACAAAGATATTTCAGATTCCATTTATGTCAAGAAGGGAGATATAAAGGACAATGGAAATATAAAAGAACTGCAAGTACACCCAAAATGTGTTACTATGACAATGCCTTATGTAGTAATTTTGTGATATGGTATTATTATTTTTTTTACATGTTACTATGTTTTTATTTTCAACATTTATAATCTTTGATCTTCTCATAAAACCTTCTGTAAAAAAAAGTTAATAAAATATAATAGACAAACTGAAATAAGTGAAATAGATTATCTGGTTCTTACAATACTTTATTGTTCACAATTTATCTAAATTATTTGATATCAAGAATCAGTAAGATTATCGCAAACTGGTTCACATATTTGTACTCATCACCACCCTCCTCGCTGTCTCATTTGCTTCTCCCCACCCTACTCATATTTCCCCTTCACCCGCCTCTTACAGGATGATGGGCTAACTCTGTGGTCACCATTAGCTGCAAACACATGTCGAAATAAGTACATCTCCCACAGACTTTCAGAGAAAAGTAGAGGATGGGGAGAGACAGCAGTAAAGAAGAGAGAGAACAGGTGACAGAGGGGGGATAGATAAGGGCAGAGTTGGGGGGGTTGCAGAAGCAAGGTGTGATTGGAAAAAAAGATAATGATGTAATAAGGGGAACTAGTAGAGTATTTGATAAAAAATAATCTGACAAAGAGATAAACACGGAGAGAGAAGAGTACAGACAGCCAAAGTCATTTAGTTGTTTCACTTCTTCTTGTGTCTGTTTCCTTGTACATATATAAACATGTACTGCTAAATATATGTGTATATTCCTTTATTTTTAGAGCTAAACACACACTTCTCACCCAAGTCTATGTTTGTCACGAACATGGACGATAATAGGAAACCACAACTTACCAGAGAAAAGAAGTACCGTACGTTCAATTGGGGAAGATAGGTGACAGAGACATATATTAGTGTGAAATTATGTTGCATGGGCCATTGGGAGTCAATCACAAGCATATTCTTGAATCCAATATTCATGCTCCCCATACTCCAGCGCCCCAATGTTTTGCTTATTGTTTTGTGTTAGCTCTATGCTGTATTTTTCCCTATGAAGTCAATAGGTGTTCAGTGGCCCAGAGAAAGAATGCAGTGATCACATAGCAGTGTGACATGTGATGGGCATCCCATTGGGTTATCCCATTGAAAGAGATGTTTCCCATGTTTTTACTTTAGGTCAACAACTTCTTAAAGAGAAGAGTTTTGCATTTTAGAGAAAATAAATGCTATACAACATTGGTATATGATATTTATTTACCAGCTTAACAGGTTGCTTTAAAAATAAACACATTTGATAGATTTTGGTTCTCCTATGAATGCATACATACACTTTAGGAGCTTTAGATCATTGATGCGATTAGGTTCAGTTACTAGTTATTCCACGGTACATAATGCAAGATACAAAGTACTAGTTTATCTGTATAAAAAACAAGAGCCAGAAATACATGAATTCACATCCACAGACCACTAGGGAAATATATTATCAACTTCTATTTCATACGGCCAAAAGGCCTTGTACATAGGCTTCAGGTAGTGTAAGAACAGCGGGTACAGCACCTTTTTACAAAGCATTTGCCAGATTAAAGAAGCTCTTGAAGCCTTGACAGCAAACTTCATCTGCAATTTGTCGATGCTAATGGGAAAGCTGACTGTTACTTTAAACAATCAGCCAGCAAAGTTCAGCAGGCTTTCAACAAATTTCAAGTAATGTTGAAGCTTGTTAAAAGCCTAATGAAGATTGCTATCAACTTGTTTAAAGTGACTCTGTAGCTGAAATAAGCCCCTCTGCAAAGAAGAGAGTTCATGTTTACCTATGCCAATGCTCTGGCCCCCGATCTGCATTGTATTGCAAAGATACTGCTACCTCAACCATTTTTAGCATATCTGGTCCCATACTATGCTCAGTGGTTCATTCTGCTGTCCTCTACATCACTACTGTGTCTTGGAGTGACATGGGGGGCAGCAGGGGACAAATAATTCAACACTTCTGGAAGTAATGGATTCTGGAGACTTTTCAAGCAGCTGTATCTCTGCAATACAGGGCAGGTAGCAGCAATATGGCTGCAGTAGGGCAATATCACTACTTTATAAATGAAGCCAAAAGATTTGTGTTTAATATCCCCAAACTGGAGCTGAAAGTTGCTTTATAGGCTTCAACAAAGCTGATTAAAGAAGAAAACTGGAGCTGCCCCTGCACTGCAAGGGTTAACTGCTCATTTTGGTTTAGGGTCTAAAATAAAAAGGATGTACTCCCCGATACTCGGTCCCATTTGGCTGATAAACTGGTCCCAGCAGCCTTTTCTTCTCCAGGCTCGGCGGCCTAAGGACGTGTGATACCATCACGTCCATTCACTTGCATTGGACATGAGGATGCCGAGGACATTCCACAGACAATGCGGAGGGGAAGAGTGGTGAGCTGTCAGCACCGTGGGACTAAGGAGTGTGAGTATATCTTTTTTATTTGAGACCCTAGACCAAAACGAGCACTTAACCCTTGCAGTGCAGTTCTTCTTTATAGCTGGCTGAAAGATTTGCAAATGATTTGTAAATGCTTGCTGTAGACACTGTTTTATACAAACTAAAGAGCATATTACAAGACCTTAACATATACACAGATTGCCATCACAGATGGAAAGCACACGTCTAGAATACTTTCAACAAAATGGTGGTACCAGTGATATGAGGTGAACTAGTCCCAGCCTAGAATTAGTAGCTATATAACTATATGTGAATTCTTGCATGTACATTCATTGGAGTGGTCACAAGTCCCACCCAGAGTCCATTAAGACTAGTATACTATAATAAGCCCTTTTCATTTATCATTTATGGCTTTCAGCTGCAGCCTCCAGCTCCTTTGGCCAATGCAGCCGCCTCAGGGATTTGCCTGAAAACCCCTCGCAATGCTTCAAGCTCTTGGTTCAGCTGTTGTATGCGACTACGCAGCTTCTCATTCTCTGCCATGAATTCTAGGGCACGCTGCTGAGTTTCCATATTTCTACGTTTGGCTTTGTCGCGGCTCTTGCGCACTGCGATATTGTTTCTCTCTCTCCGCAGACGGTATTCCAAACTGTCTTTACTCAATGACTTCTTTCCTTTGTGGCCTGGCTCTTTTATTGGAGAGGGAGGTAGCATCCCTGAGAGAGGTCCCTGTCAACAAAAAGAGGTTATAGAGAAGTCACACTAGGAATTATGAAAGGTGTCCATACACATGTTTCTGATCAATCGTGGAAAAAGAATCAGGAAGATCCCTTCTTAAAGTGACATAATCTGGCCAGTGGTCTATAGACACGAACAAGACACAAACAAAAAGTGCTAA